TTTCTTCTACAACTTGCATGATGGTTTGAGGTAGCATCTAAACTGGAGGCATGATTTTTTTTGGATATGGTCTGTCGGGTGCTGCTTTTCCTCTGGCCCTTATGACTCAAGTGTGGGCGAAGCATGTGATAAAAAACCCCAGTCAGGAACTTCAGCCAACCAGAGTGTGTTCCTCTTCTGCAACCTCTCACTTTCTGAGACCAGCTCACCTCAGTCATGGACTCAAGGGGTTTCAACACTGCTTTCTACTCACATATACACTGTATGCTGACCAGGATGCCAATGCAGTAAATAGTTAGCAAATATCCAGTAGGACTGAGTGGCTGTGCATACTTAAATATTATTATCCTTTTGATTGTTTATTTTGATATTTATGTTTCTGTTATGAAATGTCTTCTTCAGCCTCAAAGGTGGGTGTGTTTTCAAATTAAGTTGAAAAGTCATTGGTTTAGTAGTCATTATCCAATTAGAGAATGCCATGTTAGGGGTATTGTACATCCAGCAGTTATCACAGATTATTACACAGGCATTTTGGAAAGTTTATTCTGATTGGTCAGTCATGGCATTCTTAGGTTTGATATTATTTAACAACAAATTTTAAAACTGATAATAGATTGAACGCTATTGACCATAGCCAATAAAAGTTGAGTTTACACATGAGTAAATATATTCATTTTAAATACTTAAGTATTTGAAATATTATTTAAAAGTTTTACCGTTTTAATGTATTGTTTTATTCAATTTAAGTCATTTATCAGTTTGTCGGTTTAGTTATAAGTTTACATTTGCATATACATTTTAATGATTTTATTTATTAGTTCTCTATATTTTGAGATTAATAAATACCAATTAGAAATGTTGGGTCAGGGTAAGATTAATTTGAATGTTCTTGATTTATCTAAGCATATTTTGCCTATTAAGGCTGCATTTATTAAAAAAAAACACAGCAAGACAGTCATTTTGGAAAATTATAGAGGAGAGCGGGGACTAAACGATTTTCTTGAAGTCCTGACAACATTTGCTTCCCAGCCTATAACAGCACATTCAGCATGCAACCTTTAATGGAGCTGCCAAATATCACCTGATTTCAGGAGCGTTTCCTGCGGTTAGGTCTATTTCAGTTTTTATGTGCAGAAAGTAAATTATTGTAGCTCAACTGTTGTAGTTATCTTTTCCTTAATACAATTTGTGTTTTTCTTTTCATGTGTCACACTAATGATCAATCTACAGGTTAATTAGTGCAATAACACACCCATAAGTTTGCAGTATCTGAGTTTTTCAGTTTAGGTTTAAATGGCAAAAGTTATTGTAGTGAAGAAAGTAACAGTTATTTATATCCCACTGCCAATATTCAGACCTTATTTTTCACTTTCAGAGTTTGCAGTGTTTAGATTCAGATGTTTTATCAAATTAATGCACAATGCCAACAATAATCAAAAATGTTTAAAACATTTTAGAAAATTTTTACATTTTGGTTTGTTCCATTGCTTATGAAACTTTTGATGGACCTAAAATAGAAAAAGAAAATGCTGTTTAATATACACACACACACACACACACACACACACACACACACACACACACACACACATATATATATATATATATATATATATATATATATATATATATATATATATATATATATATATATATTTTTTTTTTTTTTTTTTTAAATCCAGGACAAAACATGTTTGCAGTTAATACTAACAAGGTCAAAGTCAGATATATTTAAAACAAACAAGATTAACCAGTAAATCTAGCAAATATTGTTATTACTTTTGACCCACCCATGTGTTACTTTCATGTCTACTGACGGGGTCAAAAATAAGTGAAGTTATATTAAAGTTGTTCCACATTGATACAAATTAACACTTATTGTGATAGACCACTGTTGTGAGTTAGTTACCACAGCAAAAATATATATTTCAGCTAAAAACAGTATCGCTTCAAATAAGGTTTTTATGAAAAATGGTACTTTCGTCCCTGCTTTCCCCTACTATATAAAACATTCCTATATATTATTCTGATAAAAGCTGTATGTGTAGCATCATTGAGTTTAATTCAACATTTACTCTGCTTAAAAAACAACAAAACTGCTGAACACAAATGACAAAGAATAGAGTTCCATAAAGTTCTCTAAATAAAGGCTCTAATAAAGAAAAATTGCATTCCTTACTGTGTAATTTACAGTTCTACAGGAGGCTGTAGTAAACCACGAGTCTTTCTGCTTACTATGGGTTTTTCCCATCTCTCTGCAGCCATCCGTGGCTTTTCTCCACAGCACAAGATCAGCAGCTTCGAAGAGGCTAAAGGTCTGGACCGCATCAATGAGCGCATGCCACCCCGCAAGGACGGGGTCAACCACGTGGGCCACTCTATGGGCAAGATGAACATGTCTGAGACCAACGGCACCGACGACAACAGCAACATCCAGTGATGAAGCGGCTGCCGCTCACGTGCACCTGAGTCCATGCCTGGCAGGACAACGCCAAAACCCGTGATTTAAGGCCTCCTGCTTCCAACAAACACCCAACGACATCACCTACACATCCCTCCCTGCTCCAAAGTTCAAATTAGGCAACCAAACTATCTTAAACGCATCACTGAAAAATATTGGGGCGGACTGTTTTCTTGCTGTTGGTTTGCCGCAATTTTTCCAAGCGACAGCAAGTTTCTGCCTTTTTCGGGAGTGTCGAACGGAGGGGTGGGGGGTGCTTTGCCTGTCAATGGGCTGAAAGTGTCTTTATTAGAGAAGGGGCGGTCTTTGTTCCTTTAAGGCTCCGCCCATCTATCTAAGTGGGCGTGGTTTAGGAACTTGTTTTAAAAGCCTGTTTCACCCAGGATCCATGCACACTTTTTTTTTCCTCTTTTGATTCCGAGTTTTTCTTCTTGCTCCCATCTCACTGTTGACGATGTTTTGCTACTAGTATTAACAAATATACAAATTTGAAATGATAAAAAAAACTGCGAAAAAAATGTTTGCAAGAAAGGACATTTAACGACACACCTGTACATTTTATTACTGGCGATGCAGTCTTACCTGGGGGTTTTTAGTTTCTTGATTTGGTTTTCGGTAAGATGCCATGAAGCAGTAGAGGAGCAGAGCGGTTCTGCTTGTCCGCTGTAGACTCTCGATCAAAGCCACCGTTCGGATGGAGGAAAAACTGCAGTTGGAGCTCGAGCTCGACCGTTGGCGCCACCTTCCTGATTGTTTCTCACTTGCCTGTATCTCAAGAGAGAGAATGCACATAGTACATTTCGCAAGTCAAATAAATATATATATATATATATATATATATATATATATATATATATATATATATATATATATATATATTGAAATATATGATTATTATTTAACAATGGTCGAGGACAATGAATTTTAACAGCATCTATGGTACTGAACGCATCAGTGCATGCAATTAAGTTCCTTATTGATATGTGAAATTATAATTGTGATGTGTTTCAATATAGTAGACTTGAATTATTTCCCTTCAAATTATATTTGTAAAGGTCTAGTTTGTTTTTATATCTCTATAAATAGCTATGATTTTTTTAAATATTTGATTTGATTTGTTTTTTTTTTTTTTTTTTTTTGTTTTTTCATCAATATAATTTTATTATTATTGTTTTTATTTTGTATAGTTTGGCTGTACAGGCACTGGCGCTCTTTTCAGAGTTTGTTTATTTTTCTTTAGTTTGGTCATCTTTCGTTCTTTCTTTGGTTTCGTTCTCTCTGTTCAGTTGGTTGTACAGAAGTTGTTCAGTAGTGTGAATGAACATATTACTCAGTGAAAAGCAACATTCAGGCTGCCAAAGCATGATCGCATGGTTTATTCAAATGTAAACTAATTGGACACGAGGAAAAATCAGTGTCTCACTTTGAAGAGGAAAACTATATTATCATTATGATTCTTGATGATCTTATTATTATTATTCTTACAATTAAGCTTACGGTTCTTTCATTTCCACTGTTTTCTGATCCTTGTTTGGTCCAGACGTGGTTTATTTCAAAGAAGGAATTTTATGGATTTGTGACTATTTTTCTTGTAATTTTCTCTGGAACTCGGTTTTCGCATTTGACTTCCTAAATGAAAACACATATTGTAAGCATGCCCTATGGGACAAATGACTTTTTTTACTCTTGAATAAAATATGCATGAACTAAAAATGTCTCTCATCTTTTTGATGTCAGTAAGAAAGTCTTGTGAATTAACCCTCATAATTAAAATAAGATGAGTTGAGTTGCAGCAGTGGTTCATTCTGAAAACATCCCACTATATACATTTCTGGAGATAGCGGATCATGTTGCCAGAAGTAGGTATGGCTGCATTTTGTTCTTGAAACAAATGCTTCGGGGTGGTATAAAGCCAATTGTTTGCATGCTTATCAGCTGACCGCTTACCCCTGTATGGACAGTTTTTCTGTTGTTACCAGTTTGTCCAGTAGCACGCCATGTATGTCAGTAGACTTGAGACACAAAGAGGAGTTGACCACGACAAAAGGGTTTGAGTCCCATGATGAACCCTTCAGTCAGTCTGTGCTTTTAAAAACAGTATTGGTTGGGTTAAGTAAAGGAGGAGAGTGGGTCAGTCGATCGGTCATTCAGTCAATCGACAGCAGCCTCTGGTGGATTTACTTGAGAACATGAGGTGCGAATGGCACTTGTGAAAGAAATGTGAGATCTCTAAAAGCCTACACAGCGGCCTCTGGTGGTTTTGTGAAAACATAAACTGCAAAAAAATGTAGCTCCTGGGACATATTTAGCACTCTCCAGAAACATATATAGTGGTACATTTTCAAAATGAGCCTGGTTTAGAAAAATCAGTAGCCTATTTGTGTTTTTCACTGTATGTGTGTGAGAGAGATTTAAAAAACTGTTTTAACAATTATTACTTTTCGGTGATGTGGTAGCGCAGTAGGTAGTGATATCGCCTCACAGCAAAAAGGTCACTGGTTTGAGCCTCGGCTTGGTCAGTTGGCATTTTTGTGCAGAGTTTGCATGTTCTCCCCGTGTTTGCGTGGGTTTCCTCCGGGTGCTCGGGTTTCCCCCACAGTTCAAAGACATGTGGTAGAGATGAATTGGGTGAGCTAAACTGTCCGTAGTGTATGAGTGTGAATGGATGTTTCCCAGAGATGGGTTGCAGCTGGAAGGGCATCCACTGCGTAAAACATGTGCTGGATAAGTTGACGGTTCATTCCACTGTGGCGACCTCAGACAACTAGGTACTAAGCCAATAAGAAAATAAATGAATGAATGAAATTTTTACTTTTTTTACCATATATATCATTTCAGAAAATTTAAAACCTATCATCTGATAATTACCTATTAACACAATTTTAATGTAATTCCATTCACTGATCAGCATTCCATGTTTATTTATGATATTTTCATATTTAATTCTATCAAAACAACAGAAATACTCAGAAAATTTTTAAAAATATACACAAATACATGACATAATATAACTTTAATAATAATTATTGGTAAAAATAAGAGTCTTTTAAGGGAAAAGGGTATCTTTGAGCATTTGATCAATTTCTTAAATATTTTTATAATTTTTAATGTAGCCTAGTTCATCAAAAATAAAAAGTAAAATGACAACGTTGTGAGGTTTTACAAACATTCACTTTAGTGTATTCTACACTTGTGGAATGAATACTTTATATTTAACAATCATTTCAAAAATAGGCTATATATTCCACATTTACGTACGTATGTGTGAGGTTTTAATAGTAACTATGTTTCAAACAAAACGCTCAGCCAGTGAGGGCTTTTTCCATGAGGCTTCCCACCTGTTTCCTGCTATTCTTCCACAGGAAGCTCCGGGGGCTACACTTCTTCTCCCCGAGAGCAGAGCTCGAGTCCCGCTGAACACACCCAAACACACGCTCCTCTGCGGGACTCTCAATACTATGAGCTTGCCCTCGTGTGTTACCATTACACCCTACAGGAAATCGACCTGGACATGCTGGTTTATACCTCAGCAAAATACATTAAGATACAACAATTATATTGTAATTATTCCCAGATATATGGATTGAACGTCATTTGGACTTAGCCATGGAGAAACTGCTCTTTTTTCTCATTCCCCTGATTACATTTTCATCCATCATCTCAGCAGGTAAGTTGAAGGCAAATATATAAAATAGGGAAAAGTTCATTAAAGTATCCTGTTTAGTTCTGTCAAAATGACACGTTCTGCAGTGACATAAAAAAAAGTTTAATAAATTTTAAAACATATATGCTAAAAACATGTATACAAATATTTACACAATATTGTATTTTTTTCGCCAATGTTTAAATAGCATTTTAAAAGTTTTATATATGCTTGTAATATTATAAATTGTGTTGTTTGCTCATTAGATAAAACAATATAAAAGTGGTCTGGATGTTTTGAATGGGCAGTGAATATATTTTTTTATATTTGACTGTATATTGAATATTTTTTACATTGTTGTAACAGAAAACTATAGTTATATTGGTATATCAAATAAATTGTGTTCTCTTGAGCCTCAAATACATGTTGAAATATAGGTCAGTATAATAATAATAATAATAATTTGTTGAAAATATAATATTTTTTATTGAGCCTCACAGTTAGCTATATGATGACTTTTCAAGCTTAGATTAATATAACTGAAAATAAGGTAAAAAAAAAATTTAATCACTTAAGTGGACAGATCTCAATAAAATAAAAGGTTTGTCTTGATTTACTAATTCTTCAATTTTTTGAGGTCCTTTTTTGAGTCAGTTGATACAGGTTTCCAACGCTCTGTATCTTTTTTGTGTGTATATATATATGTGTGTGTGTGTGTGTGTGTGTGTGTGTGTGTGTGTGTGTGTGTGTGTGTGTGTGTGTGTGTGTGTGTGTGTGTGTGTGTGTGTGTGTGTATGTATGTTTATTAGAGATACCATGGTTCTCAGTATAATATTGAACCATTCACTACGACCTCCACGGTTCAATACGCGCTTGTGAATTGTGGTTTTCTCAGTTTTGCGTTTAAATAATTCATATTTGTTTTATATCTCCCCGAATTAACTATGTGTACCTGTAAGTCCATGAGCTAAGATAAGGAAACTCCTCCCCGCAAGTAAATATCCAATCACTATGCTCTAAAGTTAGGGAACGCTTAACCATCACATTGCGAGCGGCGGTGAAGTGAGGCAGTACGAGAAAGTGCTGGCGAAGTGAGGCAACAGTACGAGAAAGCGCCAGCGTCTTTCAAATCTGCGGTGTGAGGACATTTTACTTTTGCCAGTAAGTATAATGCCACTAAAAGAAAAAACGGTGAACAAAAAATAACTATGTGCAACCATTGTTTTACACATATAACCATAACCATGACTGCATATCTGCAGCGCCATCACCCAGCAATATCACTGTCTGAAGGCAGGATAGCAGAGAAGGTAATAAAGTCCTCTAAATATCAACAATCCCTCGGTGAATCTTTCAAACAAACATATCCAACTGGTTCCAAGAGAGATATAAAAATAACAAAGCAGTGCGGGTGTTTATTGCTAAAGATTTGCAGCCGTTTTCAGTGTTTGGAGATGCAGGCTTTTGTCATCTTGTAAAAGCACTCGATCCGCGTTACAGACTATACAGCCTCGCATTTTTTCAGCACAGAGATAATCAAGATGGTTTATTTATGTTTACTTAAGTACAAATATGTTTATTTGAAATGGACAATTTATCTTTATTAACTTCACAAATATGTTTATTTTCAAAATGTAGGATTTTATGTTCCCCATGGGCTACCAGCAGTGAGATTTTAGTGTTATTTTTTTTATACAATACACTAACTAGTGTACTTTTCTTGACTTTTAAGTAAAACAAAATGAGTATTGCAATAAATCGTTTTTATTTCTTTCTCCTTAACCTCTAACTGTTCCTATTGCCTTTAAAATAAAACAATAAAAAACACGTGTCATGCAATGAGAACCAAACTGAACCGGAAACCGTGTTAAAAAACCAAGGTATATATTGAACCGTGGGCTAACTGTATTGTTACATCCCTAATGTATTTTCATCTTCTTTGTGCTCAAATGGTTATTGTGGCCATATCTTTCTCTTTATTTTGTAATATATTTTCTATGACTTTACAGGAAATGACACAAACCTCACAAGTCCCACACCTCCAAGCACAGTTTTTTCACCTACAAACTCTGTTAATTTAACAGAAGGTAAGTATTTTTACTTTTTAAAACATTGCAGCCTTAAATAAGAACTTCAAATAAAATCAAAAGACCAAACATATACATATGTACAGTTGAAGTCAAAATTATTAGCCCCCCTTTGATTTTTTTTTTCTTTTTCAAATATTTTCCAAATGATGTTTAACAGCTAGAAAATTTTACAGTATGTCTGATAATATTCTTTCTTCTGGAAAAAGTATTTGTTTTTATTCGGCTAGAATGAAACCGTTTTTAATTAAAAAATAAAAATGTCTACAGTCTACAGAACAAACATTATATTTAAAATGTGTTCAATAAATCTTCTCTCAAATTGGGGAAAAAATAAACAAGGGGTAATAATTCAGACTTCAACTGTATACACATATATACTAAATCATATTGTTATAATACCTATTCTAACAGGGGCGGACTGGGACTAAAAATCAGCCCTGGCACTGTAGCCACACCAGCCCATTTTACCACACCGACACAACCCCATCCACGGACACGCACATTTACTGCTTATGTTGGTGCACAAATGGTGAAATAATATAACCAGTACCTTATGTAATATATATTTAAACTTTTAATGTATGTGACTGGAACAAAAACAACCCATTTATGACAAATTTATACATCAATCATTTCATTCATTCATTTTCTTTTCGGCTAAGTTATTAATCTGAGATCGCCACAGCAGAATGAACCACTTACTTTTTCAGCATATGTGTTACCCATATGTGTAACCCAATTCACCTAGCTCGAGGGAAACCGGGAGGAAACCCACGTGAACATGCAAACTCCACACAAAAACACCAACTGACCCAGCCAAGGCTCGAACCATTGACCTTCTTGGCAACAGTGTACCCACTGCGCTGCCCCCTTTCGATACTATTTCAGTTAATTTTATGCATTTGGGCCTTGGCAGCGTCTAATTTAAGAGCAATTTTTTTGCTTTCTCCGAGCTTTTTGGCACCACCTTTCCTTTTTTTACAGTCCATCTCTGACAATTAGCTTGTGTTGCACTTACTGTTTGTGTGACATTCTTGCCAGATTTTGATTACGTCCGCGTAACCTCTGATTGGGTCGGCCCCTTTCGAAACCAGCCGGCCAATGTCGATTGGACTAATGCTTAACATTTATTATTGTCATTACTATTATCATCATCATATTCACTTCTTGCAAGAAATAAAAGCTGCCTGCATGTAAAAACAGTACATATAAAAATAAAAATAAAAATAGCACACCAGCCCACATTTAAAAAAAAAAAAAAGGTCCGGCTCTTCTTGCATTTGCCAGATGGCCAGCCCGCCCCTGTCTGTGATGGGAGCGCTTTTTATGAACCAATAATAAGCATGAACCACAAGGTGTCACTCTTGATTCAAAATCTATGGTATAGTGTAAGAATAAAATATGAAGAGTTAAGATGCAAAAACCTGTAAGTGCCGGCTCAAATTTTTATCGAAAATGAGCATTATTTTCAGCTTGCTTTGTTTAAACTTATTTATTTTATTTTGAAGACCATGAAAAGAAGTTATTCATTGACATAAAAGTGAAATTACTAAACCAATAAGAGCCTGATAAAAATGCTCACACTGTATTAGAAGAATTTTCAGATGGCCTTTAGAGGTTTTTGTAACTGAACTCTTCATATACAAAAATGGCTTTTATTTACAGTATTTTGTTAGTCATTCATTTCCAAGAAAAAAAATCATCTAATAAATGATTTAGTATTTTATGCTTATGATTAGTATTTTTTATTTGCTGTTTTGTTTGTTTCGAGGTTTAAATAAGACTTTTTTTGAATCCCAAAATTCAGTTTACAGTAGATGTGCTTTTAGATCCTTTTGTATATTCTTAGTTCACATAGAAACCACATGCTTCTTGAATTGCATTTTTATTGTTATTTTTATTACTATTACAGCAGCGCAACAGATTGAAAATTCAACTACATATGACGATGACATAAGCAACCAGACCTCAAAACCGACAACTGTTCAATTTTCCAGAAGCACAGGTAAAGCACAAATATAACATCAGTTATATCATGTAAATATACTGCACAGTTTGCACATTGTACCCTGTACCTCTGTTTCTGCAGGCTTTTTTCTTTTTTCTTTTACTTTTTAATGGAAAATTGTGTGATGGTCACTCATAATGTTACCAGTGGGATAATTTGTATTAATGTGGATAACTGAACTAGCAAATTTTTAAACCGTCATTTAACAAGGTTTGATCACAAAAATTCAAAATTGTTACTTCGTCATAGCATTGCTGTATTAGTGTAACTAGCATAATTTTTTTTTTTTTTAAAGTAACTTATTTGTAACTTTTGAACTGATAGGTCCTCACAGAATCTGAGCCAGTGGAAATCTGCAGATTGTTTAGCCCATCGAGTCTATTTATTAACTTATGTATCGTAAATGCATGTAAATATATATTTATTCAGTTTATGAATTAATAATTTCAGTAATATTATTAAATAGTATTCAAAGGCTTAGATTATTTATCTACAACAATCTTTGTAAAGCTTTAAAATAAAGTTATTCTAATAGATTATATGAAAGAGTTGCTTTGTTTATCAAACAAGTGGTTCTAATCGCATTTGCATTGCAAATCTTAAAAAAATATATTATTATTTTGTGAAATATTTAGTTGCTCCACTGTAAAAATGTATAAATATGATCAATTAGTTCACACAGCATATGTTTTTAAGTCATTGTAACTTATTAAACTAAGTTAATAATATTCTAACGTAATTTTATAAGTTACCCAAGCTGTTTTAAGTAAGTTTAAGTTCAATGGACTATTAATAAGGTAATTTGATTCAGCTTAAAAACTTCAGGCAACTAGGATTGTTTTATAGTGTATACTCTCAAAATCATTTTTACAAAATTCTGTGGAGCAATAGCAAAAGACATATCCTGCATTAGTAACAATGTAGTGGCAACATTTTAGTGTGAAAACATACATATACTGTATCTAAATGCACTTTAATATCCCTACTACTGTTATTATCAATTTGTTTACTCAATCTATTACTACACTTAACAAAACTGAATAGCTGGAAATAAATTTTCTAATACTTCACACCTTAAAAATTATATGTACAAACTATCTTTATCATAATTTTTACATTAAAATATAAAAATAAAGTTAAAGTTAAAGTGTTGGTTAAAATGATCCATAAATCATATATTATTTTAGATCTTATATTTTTTCTGTTTGCAGAAATTTACTAAAACCAGTCAGGAACATTGTAACTAAGTAAAAATACTTAGTTAGCTGCTATTTAAATTTGGCAGAATTAAATATTAAATTTGACTCTTCGTGGAGTTTTTGGGCTGTCAAAATTCTCAATTCTGTCATCATTTAGGTATCATTGTGTCAGCCAAACCTCTAAGACCTTCATTCACACAAATTGAGAAATGTTTAATCTTGATTTCTTGCTTGACAACTTAGGAGCATTTTATTTTATTTTTTATTTTTTTGTGAGCTGTGTAATGCTATAATAGTTGAATGAAGGTGAACTGTTCATTATTTACAGGAGAGTCCACCAGCAGCTCCAGTTTTATAAGATCCACAACTCCAACAACGATATCAAAATTCTACACCGACACATCGCTAAATGGAGTCTCAGCATCAGCGACCAAAATAACAGGTTTTACCTCATTCCTCTGGCTTATGAAAGTTCTTTTTTTGCTGTAATATAATGTTAGCATGTAGTACCATAGAAGTAAAATGGCATTTATTATTTAAGGGTTTGCTGGTACATGCAGTAGTTCAACTTTTGGGATGAACACAATAAAAGTGTCATAAACAATGATAGTTTACTGTATATGTAAGATATGTGAACATTTTTAGTTATTGACAAATACATCAACAGTGAACACTGTATTTCTGTGGACCCAATAAGTCAATATGATAAAACAAAAAAATTAGATGAAAAATACACAGCTATGGAAAAAATAAGAGATAATTTAAATGGCAATATATTTATTTGAACATTTTACTCAAACACAGATTTAATAAAGCTGAAGCTGAACAAATTTCCATGGCTGGAGAAATGGAGAACACATTCTCCATTCAGAGTGCTTTTTCAACTTTTGCATTGCTCTGCCAAACTTTATATATACAAGAAAATTTTGAATGATGTAAACGTTGACGAACAACATAACGATAGTTTTTGGAAAAATTGTAATTAACTAAACTAAAAAAACAACAACACTGTCCCAAGTTTTCTTCAGCTGTAAGACAGACATAAAATAGCAGTTTTCTGTATTTAATTATTCATGTTTTATTTTTCACCATTTATTTAATAATGCTTTTGAGTTGCAATATAGGAAATTTGTCTTGTTTCCAGCAACTTTTAACCTTAAAAAGTTTGAAAAGGTGACTGTTATTAACATTTTTAATAGATAATGATATATTGTCTGTGTTAGTCTTCTAATAAACTGCCAGCACTTTTTCTGTTAATTTACAGATGTATTTCTCTCTAAATTATTTCTTACATATTCTCTAAAAGTCACTTTGTTAACAGGGGCGTTGCTAGGGTCGAAAGGGATAAGGGGCTTAACCCAATAAACCCAAAAAACAATAAAATAAATAAATAAATAAAAGAAGTTCTAATATACCCCACTAAAATACCCCCATTTTCATACTCTAATCTCTAATCTTAATAATAGGATTAGAAATTGTTTAATGATAAATAAAGGATTTTTGAGTTGACGGTCTTTTAACAATAAATTGTGAAGCTTTGTGACTTTTAACACCAAAAAGGAAAAAACATTGATAAATTACCCACTTCTTATTTACTATTCTGTTATGAGCCATATCATGCCTCTTGAGCCTCCTATCTCCTCTCCTGATTGGCAGTTTCCGTTTGTTTTTTGAAAATCAAATTTTCTCCATGTCTTCAAATCTGAAAATAAGATTTATTTTATAGACCAAGTTGTTATCCAATGTGATACAAAGCTACACACGTTTATTTGGACAGAGGGATTAACTCTGGGTGTTTGGACAGAGTGATTAACTACTACTGTAGGTGTAGTGTTGTCAAGATGCTGGAATTTCTAAATTCAATACCTCGCAAAATATTCATATTTAATACGATTTTTTATATAATAACAATTGTATCAAAAATAGCACAAAAATAAAAATAAAGAGCTATATGCTAGAAATATGTTTACTTCAAATTTCTTTAGAGGGAGATTTTTTTTTTTGTTTTCCTCAAAATAGGTTGATGTGGGCAGTGTAGCACTTGAGCAGAAATTCCATATATGCCTCACAAAAGTAGTAGAACATTCCAGGAAATCCTTAATATGGATGAAGGCATCCGCTATTGCTGTATTTGAATGAAAAAAAAAAATCTGAATAAACATAAAAAAGGCTTTAACTGATCATTTACACGACTGAGACAATAAATGTTTTATACAGATGAAGTCAGAATTATTAGCACACCTTTGAATTTTTTTTCCTATTTTTAATATTTCCAAAATTAGGTTTGACAGAGCAAGGAAATTTTCACAGTATGTCTGATAATACTTTTTCTTCTGGAGAAAGTCTCATTTGCTTTATTTCGGCTAGAATAAAAGCAGTTTTACATTTTTTAAAAACCATTTAAGGGTCAAAGTTATTAGCCCCTTTAAGCTATATTTTTTCTGATAGTCTACAGAACAAACCATCGTTATACAATGACTTGCCTATACCCTAACCTGCCTTTAAAGCCTTTAAATGTCACTTTAAGCTGTATAGAAGTGTCTTTAAAATGTCTAGTCAAGTATTACTTACTGTCATCATGGCAAAGATAAAACAAATCAGTTATTAGAGAGTTATTAAAACTTTGAAATGTTTAGAAATGTATTTAAAAAATAAACAGGGGGGCTAATGATTCAGGGTGTATGTGTTCTTCCAGCCATCTTGCAATACAATACAGTAACTACTAAAACACTATAGTATTTACTATAAATTACAATTGTATATTTTGATTTTCAAAAGAAAGTTAAGTATTTTTTTTCCATCTCATAAGCTCTTAGCCTATATATATATTACATATGCTGTATGTGCAATAACCCCTCATGTTGTACAATACAATCAAGCTTTTTTCCCTTTAGACTACATTAAATTATCATTTCGCATGTTATCTTGATATGCAGAGGCTGTTTCTTCAACGACAGTTTTTTCCAACATCAGCATGTCAGAGGCAACAGCGACTCCTTCACCAGCAGAAAGCAGACTCACTTTACTAGCCTTTGGTAGGTTTTCTACTGATGTTCTAAATTTTGTGCATTTCTGCAGGTTCTTATAAATACATTCTGTCTGCAATTGCAGGTGTGATGAGTCTCATACTGATTTTGATTGTTGTTATGGTGATCTTGGTCGCCGCTGTCAACCTCAAGGGACGCTGTTGTAGAAACACCCAACAACACGAGAGTGGGTTTTGCTCTTATTCTGCCCATTTCGGGATTAGTTTTAAAAACAAACATGGTGGAGCATCTAATCATTTTTGATTCATTTATAGGTATTAAAAACCGTGATTCTTTGGTGTCTGACAGGTGAGGACTTATAAACACATGACTTTAAATGTGCAGATTGAATAATCTATCTGTCTATCTATCTATCTATCTATCTATCTATCTATCTATCTATCTATCTATCTATCTATCTATCTATCTATCTATCTATCTATCTATCTATCTATCTATCTGTCTGTCTGTCTGTCTGTCTGTCTGTCTGTCTGTCTGTCTGTCTGTCTGTCTGTCTGTCTGTCTGTCTGTCTGTCTGTCTGTCTGTCTGTCTGTCTGTCTGTCTGTCTGTCTGTCTGTCTGTCTGTCTTTCTGTCTATCTATATTTAAAACAATAATAATAATAAGACAATATTAATTAAAGCAAAAACAATGTTTTTTATTATCATTGTAATAATTTGAATAATAATATTACTGTAGTTGTTCGTTATTAATATTTATTATTGTTATAACACACAACATCAATAAAAATAGTAGTATTATTAATAAAATTAATAACAACAATAAAAATTATTATAATAACACATAATAATAGCAACCAAAATTGTAATAAGCATATTAATAGTAATAATTATTATTAGTAGTAGTATTATTATTATGGCGAGGCAGTGGTGCAGTAGGTAGTGCTGTCGCCTCACAGCAAGAAGGTTGCTGGGTCACTGGTTCGAACCTCGGCTCAGTTGGTGTTTCTGTGTGGAGTTTGCATGTTCTCCCTGCCATCGCGTGGGTTTCCTCCGGGTGCTCCGGTTTCCCCCACAGTCCAAAGACATGCAGTACATGTGAATTGGGTAGGCTAAATTGTCTGTAGTGTGTGTGGATGTTTCCCAGAGATGGGTTGCGGCTGGAAGGGCATCCGCTGTGTAAAAACTTGCTGGATAAGTTGGCGGTTCATTCCGCTGTGGCGACCCCGGATTAATAAAGGGACTAAGCCGACAAGAAAATGAATGAAATATTATTATTACAATGAATAATATAATGATAATAATAATAAAGACATTTATTATTATGCTTATTTTCCAGAGTTGGGTTGCAGGTGGAAGGGAATCCGCTGCGTAAAACATATGCTGGATAAGTTGGCGATTCATTCCGCTGTGGTGACCCCAGATTAATAAAGGGACTAAGGCGAAAAGAAAATCAATATATGAATGAATGAATTATGCTTATTATGCGTATAGTTTGATTATTATTATTATTATTATTATTGTTGTTGTTGTTGTTTTTGTTGTTGTTGTTGTTGTTAATTGTTATTAGTATTTATTTTGTTATTATTGTTGTTATGACACATAAAATCAATAAAATATTAGTAATAATAAAATGATATTATTAATAATTGTATAGATATTATTGTTATTATAACACATAATAATAACAACCATAATCATAATAAGCATGATAATACATGAAACTATGTATATTATATTAATTATTATTATTATTATTGTGTGTTAAATTTAAGTATGAGAAGCAAAATAATAAATGTCTTTATTATTATTATTATTATTATTATTATTATTATTATTATTATTATTATTATTATTATTATTATTATTATTATAACACATATTAACAACAACAACCATAATAATAATAACAATTAAAATTAACAACACTATAATAATCATCATCATCATAATAATAATCCTGGCACATAAAACAACAGGAGGTCATATGTTTCTCATAACATATAATTATGTGTAATAAATAAAAATTGAAAACACTCAAAATGCTGGGTTATTTGGGTAAAATGCAAATATTGGGATTTTTTTTTTTTTAAGTTAAATGAATAGCTCAATTTAGTGGTTGTGTTTATCCATATTTTAAGATTTGGGTTGAAATAACCCAGCTATGTATATTTATTGTTTATGTTCCAATTTGATTATTACCCATTAGAGCATCTTTAGAGTGTTATAATTAATTTGAAAACAGATCTGTTGAAAATGTATTTAAGATTAAACAAGTGTCTCGATTTTTAATTAAGCAACCTGACCAGCAATGGGGAGAAGGAAAACATCACTCTTGTCTCTGTGAGGACAATAAACACAGAATACAGTATGTTTTTGTGACAAATACTGACAAAATAGCATGCCATTATTCTACTTGAAAGCATGCAATAATATTTGGCCTCTCTTCATGTGCAGATGCAGATTCTCCCCAGATTTCTTCAGTTCACAGCACTATAGTGGACAATGATGACCATGAACTTTCCAGAGACCAGCTGATTTCACTGGGTTCATGATGCATGGAGATTGGAGGCTGTGTGCTTATCTGATTTATTTGTAATTTTGGCTGAATGTGGATTATTGCGCCTTTAGTTGATGGTTATTGAACACATCATGCTCATGATGTACATTGGTGCAAATCAAATCATCATTATACCTGCAGGGCTTTCATTTATTGAAAATGACACATGCTTCAATATTCTGCAAAATGTCACTTTTTGTGCTCCTCTTTTTCATATAAAGCAGTGCATTTGTGACTCTGAACCACAAAACCAGTCAAAAGGTTGTTTTCAGAAAATCTGAAAGTTGAATAAATAAGTTTACCTTTGATTTACGGTTTGTTAAGAGAGGACAATTTCTGGCCGAGATACAATTTGAATATCTACAATCTGAGGGTTAAAAAAAAAAAAAAAAAAAAAAAAAAATATATATATATATATATATATATATATATATATATAAATGAAAAAAAAAGTTGTCTCCAATTTTAGCAATGAGTATTACTATTCAAAAAGTTCTGACATATTTATGGAAGGAAATTTACTAAATGTCTTCACGGGAGATTATGTTTACTTAATATTACTGATTGTTGGGATGAAACAGAAATTGATTATTTTGACCTGTGATGGATTTTTGGCTATACCTACAAATATATCCATAAAGCATATGTCTGGTTTTGTGTTCCAGGGTCATATTTATGTCATATCTGATGTCACAAAAATTATGTATAAGGCACATAAGCCTTGTTTTTTATTCTTTTTTGACATGTCTGTGTTTAGCATTTTACTGTTTGTAGATTGATAAAAATGCCAATTTCATGAATTATATCTTATTCTCCTGTAGTTATCAACCAAGGCTCATTCTGAAAAGGTACCCCTATATACATTTTTGCAGTTTTTGTCTTTGCAAATCTATCTGAGGTCGCTGTGTATGCTTTTTCAGATCTTAAATTTCTCTTTCGAGTGCCATTAGCGCCCGCTGTTCTCATGTAAATCCACCAGAGACCGCTGTCGATTGACCCACCCTCCTTTTTCCCTAAACTCAACCGACAGTTTTAAAAAGCAAATTTTTTTTTTTACCACATTTTCAGATTTTACCACATTATCACCCAGTTATTTGCTTGTTTATTTTATTTTTTGGCTTGTGTTTTTGTCTTATTCGCTTTCTGGAACCGTTGTCAGACTTGAACCCCATCGTCATGGTCAACTCCTCTCTGCATCTTAAGTCCACCGACGTATATGGCGAGCTACTGGACAAACTGGTAACTTTGGGAAAGTCATCCATATGGAGGTAAGCGATCAGCTGCTAATCGCGAAAAAGGAATGATGTCATTCCACACCGTATTTTGTTTTAAAGACAAAAAGGCTACATACTTTGTGATCTCTAGAAATGTATATAGGGCTAGGTTTTCAGAATGAGCCTGGTTATGTAACTTGGGCTTTTCAAGTGTTCTTACATCTTTAATTTGTACAACCAGGGCCAGATTCATATAGGGTGCAAAAGCCAAAGCAATACATTTTTTCTTAAAAAAAAAAAAACTAATTTATTTATGAACCGCCAGAGGACCAAAACTCACATAATATACAACACGCTGTGTAGAGAAATAAGAAATACACGCTCAGAAATAAAGGTACAAGAGCTGTCACTGGGGCAGTACTTTTATAAAAGGTACATATTTGTACTTAAAGAGTCCTTAGCAGTACAAGTTACAATCAGTACCCAAATGCACATAAAATGTACCTTCAGGTACAAATATGTACCTTTTAAAAAGGTAATGCCCTAGTGACAGCCCTTGTGCCTTTATTTCTGAGTGTACTTCAAAATTCTTTGTCTTTTTTGTCTCTCCATCTGCTCTTAAATTTGATGTTTAAACTTGATACTTAGAATCTAATTTTCGTTATATAGCGAAATCTGCTTTCTAGTAATTCAATTGAGAATGACTAAAATAAGCTGTAATAAAAAAAATGTAGGAAATTGTGCCATCATGTGGTAAAAAATGCATTATTCCTTTATGCCGAGGCTGAAATAAGTCTAACGCAATCATGGTTTAAATGTTCCTCATAAATTAACAAACACATGAACAAAAGACAATATTGCAGTTTTATTTTTAACGTGAAGGATATATACTTTCTTCAATTTGTACAACTTTACATGAGTTTACATATTTAAAGATATGCTTCGCACAGAAATGTAACATCAGTCATCATTTTTTTAAATATGTGTATTTTATACGCAAAAAAGACAGCCCCAGTTGCACTCGTTTATGTATACCGTTATGAATAATAAAGAATACTATAAATATGTATACGTATTAAAGGGATAATTCATCCAAAAATAAAAAAAATCTGTCCTCATTTACTCTCCGTTTACTTTTCTGTTAAACATAAAAGAATATATTATGAAGAAAGCTGATAACGGATATACTCCGTGTTTGTTTTTCCTACTATGGAAGTTTGGTGGTTATAGGTGTTCAGTTTTCTTTGAATTATCTACTTTTACATTCAACAGAAGGAAGAAACTTTTAAAGGTTTGGAAATACTTGAGGTTGTGTAAATGATGAGAACATTTCCATTTTGGGGCTTAAGTTGAGAATTAGTCATGTTTTGTTTTTACTCCAGGGTGTAGATGTTCTCCTCCACTGGTCTTCTTGTGCGTATTTCATAAATAATGTGTCTGGGCTCCTTTGAGAAACTGAGGATGAAAAACACAGCAATAATTGTGATTACACAGCATTACAGTAAGCATTTCGTGAAAGGTTTTGGTGAATGAATCATACTTACCACCCACTGTCTAATGCCTTCCCATAAAAGCCACCTGTCAATCAGAATTTACAAATATGCAGTTGAAGTCAGTTATTAGTCCTCCTGTGAATATTGTTTTTCTTTTTTAAATATTTCCCAAATGATGTTTAACAGAGCAAGGAATTTTTCACAATATTTCCTATAATATTTTTGCTTCTGGAAAAAGTCTTATTTGTTTTATTTCAGCTAGAATAAAAACTTTAGTTAACATATTTAACTTTTTTTAAACCATTTTAAGGTCAAAATTATCATAAAATAGCATGTACTGTCATCATGGCAAAGATAACTATAAAAAAAATACAAATTCTGACTTCAACTGTGCATATTTCTATTTAGAAAACACTTACAATAGTTCTTTCAAAAAAAGCAGTTGTTCACTTCCATAATGTAAAATCTGTCACGGTTTATTTATCTTTAACTTGTTCCAAACAGGTAAAACTTTCTTACTTCTCTTAAACACAAAAGGGTGGATCCCACTTTATTTTAACTACTATGTACTTGCATTACAAAAATAAATACAATGTAGTTCATAATCAATCACAGATTGGATATGGGTTGGGTTAGGGACAGGTTTGGTGGTATAGGTTTAAAAGTGGGTTACGGTGTAAGGCAGGGGTCACCAATCACGGTCCTGGAGGGCCGGTGTCCCTGCAGGGTTTAGCTCCAACTTGCCTCAACACACCTGCCTGGGTGTTTCAAGTATACCTAGTAAGAGCTTGATTGGCTTGTTCAGGTGTGTTTGATTAGAGTTGGAGCTAAAACCTGCAGGACACTGGCCCTCCAGGAACAAGTTTGGTGACCACTGGTGTAAGGGATGGTCAATTACAAATGTAAATATAGAAGTTAACAGATGCAATTACGTATAATGTAAACAAAAAAATATTTACACAGTAAACACATGGTAAAAAAATGATTAATTTCAGTGTAAAATCATATTAGTTAAGGCCATCTAATATAAAGTGGGACCCACAAAAGATATTTGAAAAATGTTGGTTTCCGAAAGGTTTATGGTTACCATTCATTTACATATATGGGGAGAATATGGAAAACAAGTAGATGTCAATGCTGACCAATCATTCTGGAAGTGAACTTTTTCAATGTCCAGTAGAATAATAGCTGAGGGCAATACATACGTTTGAAGGTCAAAAGGGCCAGAGCACCCAAAAGAACCAGAAGCAGACTGAGAGACAGAGACAACACCGGGATGTTAATCTGCAGCATGATCCTAGAGATCGGCTCCTCCATCTTAAAATCACACATTTAGAAGAATTTCAAGACTCTTAGGGTTAGTTCACAAAATAAACCATATTTTTATTTGTATACTAATAAAAGTTTAGACATTAACAGTTTTAGATTTTTTCATTTCTGTTGGAGTTTTTGTTACTTTATGTAATGCAAATGTTTTACGCAGCGGATGCCCTTCCAGCCACAACCCAACACTGGGAAACACCCATACACTCCCGCATTCACACACATAGACTGTGGCCAATATAGCTTTTTCAATTCACCTATAGCACATGTCTTTGGACTGTGTGGGAAAACCAGAGCACTCGGAGGAAACCCACACAAACATAGAACCTACAAACTCCACACAGAAATGACAACTGACACAGCCATTAGTGCCCGCTGTTCTCATGTAAATCCACCAGAGGCCGCTGTCGATTGACCCACCCTCCTTTTTCCCTAAACTCAACCGACAGTTTTAAAAAGCAATTTTTTTTTTACCACATTTTCAGATTTTACCACATTATCCCCAGTATTTAACTTGTTAATTTTATTTTTTGGCTTGTGTTTTTGTCTTGTTCGCTTTCTGGAACCGTTCTTTGTCAGACTTGAACCCCATCGTCATGGTCAACTCCTTTCTGCATCTTAAGTCCACCAACGTACATGGCGAGCTACTGAACAAACTGGTAACCGTTGGAAAGCCATCCATATGGAGGTAAGCGATCAGCTGGTTATCGTGAAAAGGAACGGTGCCATTCCACACCGTATTTTGTTTTAAAGACAAAATGCAGCCATATGTACTTCTGGCTACATAATTTGCGATCTCTAGAAAGGTATATAGGGCTAGGTTTTCAGAATGAGCCTGATTATGTAACTTGGGCTTTTCAGGAGATGATCATGCTTTCCACTGCACCACCATGATGCCCCAGTTAATCACATTTCTGTATTTATTTAAATTACATCTAAATTTTTAATTAAACATATTTATGTTTTTAGCGTTTTGAAATTTAAAATAACTCAGATTAGTTATTTTAGAGGTTACTTAAGGTCAATCTATTAAACTATGCATCTAATTTTATTTGACTTTTAGGCTGTATGTAGATACAAACACCAATTTTGCAAGAAAAGTTTCTTGTGAACCCGTACTATGTCAATCTGTGCTTAGATTTGTTGGTTTCAGACTGTTAAATGTTTTTTGTTTTTTTTGCACAGACTGGTCGGCGCTATAATGCATGCAGTGGTATGAACCCTTATAGGGTCAAATGTACATTTATATTATATATTTATATTATATATTGTTTTAATTATTGATATTAAGATACAGATCAGAGACTAATAATTCTCACTATTGTTTTGACATGCAGTGGGGATCAAGCGTTA